GCATAAAATAATGGTTTTGGAAGGAATGCAAGTGCTCAGAGGGAGGGAGAGGACGAGAATGACTGAGACAGCTAGCTGGGGATCTGTGGTTAAATATAGTAAGGTTTTCGTTTTTCATTGCGCTAAGAGTCTTGAAAATGTTAAAACTACTATGTTGCTTGACTCGGGTGCAGATGTCCAATCATTTAAATTCGAAGAGGATCCTTCTTTTGTTGTTTTGGTATTGTCATGTCTATATGAGTACTTCCTCAAAAATGGACAGTCCGAGTAACAATAGTGATGCAACACCAATAAGATGATTAATAGAAATAGAAGAAAGATTCAGAAAGAATGAGGAATTAAGGGAGGGAATAGAAGAAGAATTCAATATAAGAAGGGGAGGGATGCGCCATAAGCCATTAAAATAATTATTCATTCATCATCAACTGAAAATTAGAATGCAAAATAGGTTTAAATAGTAAAGCAACCTTAACGAGCTTGGGCCCGAGCCCATACAAGTCCAAATTTAAATAATAGTCCAAGAAAATAAATAAAGCTTAAATAAAATAAGTAAACGTCGTCCGATGTCCTCATCAACTCTCCCGGGGTGGGAGAAAAACTCGACTCTGTCGAGTTGATAGATAGTATAGACTGCAGTCAATCTGATACTCCAAATGCTTCAAGTCAATCCACGGGGGACGATCTTTCTGACGAACCAAGTAACGAAATTCTATAATTGATAGTACTGAAAACTGTAGCTTATTCCCAAGAATATGATCTGACCAAGGGGGCCGATCTTTCCTTCTAACCAAGTACTGATAATGGATTTCAAATAACCAATACTCATGCACCTCTTCAACATTTTCACATGATTGTACATAATGAGGAGTATAAGAAGTACGTCGATTTACCCAACAAATAAGGAAGTACTAATTTTGCCATCATTGGTCAATACAACACGTTCATCTAAAATAACATCAATTTTATTTTTGTGTGCTGTGATAGATGGTATTAAAATAGAAATATCAATATAGTCAAATTGGGGGTCCACAAAGTTAGGTAGAAATGAATCATCAAAGGAAGTAATACGGTATTTGTAAGTAATGAAGTTCTCAATATTTAAAGTAGAGTGGTGGTTAAAATGTGATGAAAGGGCAATGACATGTGTATTTGAACCAACATGCTTTAAAATTTTTAAAGGACCAGCACTACAAGCTTGCAATATGACATAATCCCCAATATTAAATTCAAAATATTGTTTATGCGAATCAGCTTGAAGTTTATATAATGCATTACTTGCGTCATGTTGTTTATTGATCTCAATATGCAACTCATGAAGATGATATATAAATGCTTCAGCCGACAACAACACATTAGCATGCGGGGACATGGGAATAAGTTCTAACGGTCGCCTAGACTTATAACTATGAACAACTTCAAATGGATTTAGACCTAGAGACCGATTCATAGAATTGTTATGTGCGATGTGAACAGTTGGGGGGATCGAGTCCCAATTCTCAAGATTTTTCTGTACTAGAGACTGTAATAAATTGTCAAAACTTCGGTTAGCAATTTCGATTTGACCATCAATTTGAGGTTGGTCAGTAGTGGAGAATTTTGATTTAGTGCTAACAACAAGCGACTGGATTCTCCAAGGGTGACTAGTGAAATCATCAAACTCTTTGAGTTGGGTAAGGGTATGACATATAACATGTGATCGAGAGTTGTCGGAAACAAGGGGTATAGTTTCTAAAGTCTCGGGAAGGGTCGGGATTCCACTTAAAGAAGTGTCCTCACTATAATCATCAAAATCTTCAAGTTTAGGGCCATATGCTAGATCTTCTAACGACTTTTCTATTGCATTCTTTCGTTCTTCTATGATTAAGGCTCGGTTAGGACATTTGGAAGAGATGTGGCCAAAATCCTTACAGCTGATGCATAGCAAATGAGAGGTCTTTGGAGTTTCACAAATTATACCCTTATTTTCCAAAATTGGAGGAACATTAGACAGGGGAGGTCCTAGAAGGGACTTAACAGGAGGAAGTGGAGCCACATTAGACGGGGGAGGTCCTAGAAGGGACTCAACAGGAGGAAGTGGAGCCAATGAAACCGAAAGATGATTGCCATTACGCTTTTTACATGAAGAAGAAGATCTTGGACTATCACGACCTTTACAATTATTTTTCCAAATAAGAGGAACATTAGACGGAGAATGTTTTATGATAGACTTATGATGAGGCGACGCTAATGAGATGGGTGGACGACGATGACCACGCTTTTCATATGGAGTATTAATAATCAACTCATAATCTTGAGCTAAAGAATAAGCGTGATCAAGAGTAGTGACACCTCGAAGGAAAAGCTCGCGCTTAAGATCATCTCTTAGACCTTGGCTAAACCTACTCAAAGTCATGCTTTCATCCTCAATTAAATGACATTTGGTTCGAAATTCCTCAAATTGCGCGATATACTCAGTCACTAATTGATTTCCTTGTTTAAGGGCATTCCATTGAGTAAGAATTTCAAAATTATCTCGTTCTCGCTTACGAATCTGATCCCTATTCCTACGATCGCGTCGAAAATATTTTTGATCACTTTGTCCACGATGATATTGTCTATTATGAGACGCTTCAGAATTAGTGTCAGTTAAACGAGGGGTTCGCTTAAAATTGTTCAACTTAGCAGCTAGGTTCTTTCTCTCCTCACGAGTAGCAGTTATATCTGATTGGACAGTCGATAGGCTAGTGGCAAGTTGCGCTAAGTGTCTAGTGAGTGCATCAAATTGGGATAGATCCATGGTAAATATATTGGAAATAGAGATGACAAGACGACCACTATGCAACTACATGCAATGTAATACCAGCTAAATGACGTGCTATGATGAGATCAGTGAACAATACGTGCAAGCAATGGAAAATAACTTGTACCATTTTTTTAAATTTAATTTTAAATATTGGGATTAATTAAATCCAAAACAAATTAATACTGTTAGTACATGTAAAATGGCAAAGCAAGGGTCAACACTAGTCAAATTCTCTAATCAATTTTAGTGGGGAACAATGGAAGTTAATTCAGTCACTGGTGTCAATTCGATTAATGATTTTGATCAAGTGAGGTTTAAGGCTAAAATTATCACAATAACAGTAGCACAAGATTTAATTGATGCAATTTTAAAAATGAAGTAGTAGTATAAACCAATACTAAATAGAGATCAAGGGCTTCTTGTTGTTTAGTTTTGATTATTTGTATGCCGCTTGATCTGAATTGCCGATTTATAAGCCCCAACTATGCTTCTGTTCTTCCCTTCGTATCCAATGGTTTTAGCCCCTGTAGACTGTAACTTGTGCTGGTTCTGGTGTGGACGTAAAATTGTGTGTAGTAACTGTGGCTTTTAGATTGTTGAGATGGACGAGAAAATATATGAGTGTGGTAATTGTGGTGGAAGTGTATGAGCTTGGGTAGGTGGTGGTGGCCTATGGCGATGAAGAGGTAGTGCTCTGGATGCCTGGGTACAATAGATAATGAAGTGGTGGCGTGATGGTGATTAGAGGCGGCAGCGGCAGGAGAGCGTTTATGAGAGAGAAATCGGGTGAAACTGTGGGGTATTTGATTTTAATGGATTGGTTATAATCGGGTTTGGTTGGATATTTGGGACTGATCATGGGTTGAATGATGTTGGGCCGATTGTGATAATATGTGATAAGTAAATTGGATTTAGTGTTTATTGGGCTGAAAAGCAAGTGGATTGGCTAAATAGATGATGAGAGATGGGCTGTGCATTTAGTGGGTTTTGGGAGTAATTTGGGCCACTAGCTTATGGCCCAAGTGTTTTAATAAAAAAATGAATGGAGTAGGTTATAGAGATGGAATATATGGGTTGAAGGGCTAAGTAGGCTTGAATGCTAGGGTTTGGGATTTGTGGAACAACACCACAATTATTATTTTTTTATTTATAAGCAGCAGCAGCAGGAGGGAAAAAATGAGAATTTTTTTTTTTTTTTTGGGGGGGAAATGAAATTTTTTTTTTTTAAGCTAAAAAAAAAAAAAAAAATTAATTTTCGGGCGTGAATAGTACCCGTGAACAGTAACACGTTTTTTTTTTTTTTTTGGGGGGGAAATGAAATTTTTTTTTTTTAAGCTAAAAAAAAAAAAAAAAATTAATTTTCGGGCGTGAATAGTACCCGTGAACAGTAACACGTTTTTTTTTTTTTTTTGAACAACTATGAAGAAGCTGGAAAAATAATAACTTGGCTGCTCATGCTAAAAGTTTATTTGTTTGTGTTGTTCCACAAGTTCTTAGGAAAGAAATAGAAAGATTTTTGGATTGAAGATGAGAGATTACTCAAGTTTAGGCTCTGATACCAAATTTGATGCAGCACCAATAAGATGATTAATAGAAATAGAAGAAAGATTCAGAAAGAATGAGAAATTAAGGGAGGGGATAGAAGAAGAATTCAATATAAGAAGGGGAGGGATGTGCCATAAGCCACCAAAATAATTATTCATTCATCATCAACTGAAAATTAGAATGCAAAATAGGTTTAAATAGTAAAGCAACCCTAACGAGCTTGGGCCCGAGCCCATACAAGTTCAAATTTAAATAATAGTCCAAGAAAATAAATAAAGTTTAAATAAAATAAGTAAACGTCGTCCGATGTCCTCATCAAATAGACTGTAGGAAACGTGTGCCCCTGTCTCTAAAGTATTCAGTTTGAACATTATTGCAGCTATTGTTTGTAACCACACTGGTGGGGTAAAATCTGGAGATCAACAGAATCCAACGGGTGGAACTTTGAATCTGTGCCCAAATACATTTTTTTCTTCTCGTAAATGATGTAATAAAATCTTTTAAGTTTTGAATTTTACATTGGTGGGTGAGCGATTGTCAGAGAATTCAATTTTCTCTTGATATTTACTATATTGAAGGCATGAATCTACCTATAAAAAATTCCTCCAGTTGGATTCTGGGGCATGCTACCCTGCATAACAACTGAAAAAGTCTTGCTGTTGTTTATTGGCAGTTAATGGCTCTTTTGCTATTGCGGCAAGCATTGTCTGTAACTGATGGCGAGGGAGATGGAGACGGTGATGAAGACGCATCTACTTTCTTCTCCGTAAGTTGATGCAAACTCTATGTTGTCATTTGAATTTTCTCGCTGCAGTTTGTTTGTTATTTATCATCCTGACTACTTGATGCATGCAGCTTTCCTTGCTTCGAGTTGCCGGTTTTCTTTTGCCTTGCTATATCATGATCTGGGCCATTAGTATCTTGCAACAGCGAAGGCAGAGACAGGTTAGTCTATTTCTACTGTAATTGTATAATGTCTATTTGCTTTTTGGGTGTGCAAGTCAGTTCTTTGGGATTGAAGCAGGTTACATGGAAGTAGCGGCATCTAAGTGTTGAATGAATTTATTTTTAAAACAACAATGCCTTAGGCCTGTTCCAACCATCTTGGCGCTGCCCACCTTGGGACAGGCCTACTGAGATGGGGCAGAGAAACTGTGATTGGCCTGGTATGGCCCCTGAGCGCCCGTTCTGGGATTGTTTATGGATCTCTACATGGAAATGATATGACCTGTACAGTTAGTGCATGTTTGGAATAGCTTCTGCTTCTGCTCCATTTAGAAGAGCTTACTTGAGAAACCACCTCTCTGGCTTCCTCTCTTTTTGTGAGATGAAACACTTCCCAGAAAATTATCCAAACAAACCCATAAACAGCTTTTGGCCTTTCAAAATCCATGCCAAACAGGCTCTTAATCATGTCTCCGTCTCTGATTTGTTGGAACAGGAAGCTGCAGCACTGGCGGCAACACAATTTGCAATCGTGGTACAATCCGCTCAAAGCAGCAGAGGCCTTCTGGTCGCATCCGCTGCCCCTGCAGTAGCTTCTCTTGCCACTCCACATCGGGAACAGGTGTAAGTAAACGACAATCCCTGTGCCATTTACGTGCATTGGGGTGTTACTTTTATATGCAGCAGGAAAATTATGCTGAAGACATTGAATTTCCTCAGTATTGAAGTATGTTTCCCTTTCGTTTCAATCTGAAATCCCTAATGTTAGAATTGTGTGTGAATGTTGGATTCTTTGAGTGAGCTTTCTTGGAGAACTGGTCGAGAGCTTAATTAACTTCATCAAAATGTATTTATATTTCTTTAATCTAATGTATTTTACATGTTTCTCTAGACTTGTTCCCAAGAAAGAAACTGATATATTTTCGTTGGTCTCCCTCGATAGTCGATCCGTATGTAATTTCTTGTATTGCATCTCTAGGTCCTTTCTTGGGCATAAAAAAATCGTCTTGATAGCGCTTAGTGTTCTAAAAGGCGTAATACGTGGCGATGCGTTGATGTCGAGCTAAGGGCAATGCAAGATTAGGTGAGGCAAATGCATAAAAAAACGTTTTCTTATTTTAACATTATTTTAAATTTTTAATCAGTAAAAAAATTATTTAATAATTATAAGTTTTAACTTAAAATAATAATAATAATAATAATAATGTCGCCTAGGTGTGCATTGGCGTCTTAGCCTTGCCTAGTGTCTGTTGATCGCGTTCGTTGACTGCCAAATAAAGCGCCACATGTGAGCATTGGCTTGCTTGGCACCTTAGCCTCGCCTCGTGCCAATGTGAGCATTGGCCCGATATTTAGAACGCTGGTGCTTATTAGTGTTAACCGTGTGTTAGATTTTTTTAATTCATGTGAATGGTAACTGGGAATGGTATTCTCTACTTCATTATTATTATATTTCTTTAGACATCATTTTCCTTTACATTAGTCTTGATCTGTACTTTACACAAGAAAAATTGTTATAACTTTACATTTCCTTGCATCTTTGGACTTTTACAATTTTAAAACGTGAAATTTGGGTTAAAATTCTAGAGGTCATTCAATATATATTTCAAATTTAAGTTGATAATTGAATAAGAGTAAATAAATGTGATATAGATATCAATTGTTATATTGGTATTTTCATCTGTCGAGCTAAAGGATTTGAATAGAGTGACTTGCTTCAAAAATATAAAATTTGATGTACCAATTCTCGCAAAATGAAGTAACTTGCTTGTAATTCTGGTACCAGTTTGGGAGCCTTCAAACTATTTATGCTTGAAATTTGCAAACACCATCAACTAGAAAATTTAATACAATTAACACATGAATAAAGTTGAAGTACCCTGGACAAGAACTATATTATTGAAAATATTAGGACTAATCCCAAGTCCAGCCTTTTGGTAGCGTACTTTTAAGTTCCTAACATTCAAAAGTAACGTTTGACATTCAAATTTGATGATATCCAGCTCTTAATAGATTCTAACTCTTCTTCCATTCACGCGTATGTTGCACACTTAAATGTTAGTGTCAGAATGCACATGATCGTAGCTCAGCTAGGGGGCGCGACGATGTCGGCTATTTTGATACTCAAGTTAGACGGAGGAAAATATATTTGGATACGGAAGAGAATCGTTAGACGGAAATATGGTTGCGTGGTGGAAGAGAGAATTACGAAGATCGAGAGTAATTTTTCTCACTTGGTGTGAATAAGTATAGTCAAGTGAGATATTGTTGCGGAAGCTCGCTCAAAGGATCTTCAAATTGGCATTTTTCGGGTTCAATTAACCAATCTAACTGGCTCTGATCCACAACCAATATATTAACCTCGGTTGCTTCTCAATCTCACCCACAAAAGATAAGATAACGGTGACATAAAAAAAAGCAATGGAAGAAGACACGAGATAAAGGCTAAAACACAAAGTTAATTCACCGATTTTTTTCTCCCACTAGGCAGTCGGTTTCTTCACAAAGGGCAGCAAATTTTTCTCTCCACAAGGCTGCGTTTTTCCGTTCAATGTTCTCATAAATCATACAACTAAATAGCTAGGGTTAGAACCATATAAATAGGGTTAGGTTAGCCTTTTAATTGGGCCAATAATAAAACTAAATGGGTCAAGATTCAAAGCCATCCAAAAGGTAATATAAATGGGTCGGGTAGAGCTTTTGGACTTGGTTGTTGATAATTATTACATTTATCGGCCTAAACCTGTGAAATATATATTCCCACGTTAATATCATAGCCTAGGTATTAAAACTTAACAAATCTCTACCTTGATTCTCAACAAACCTGCAAGCAATCAAAACATATAGTTATTACTTATATAATCCAGGTAACCAATAAAATTGGGATCACAGACCTTACCTCATGTTTTGAACCCAAAACAAATAACATACTTGCTTCATATGCTCACCAAGGTTAAAGTCAAGAATACCAAAGTAGAAGCAGATATTCACAGTAATAAGTCAAGAGCAGGTAATCATATAATAAAAATATAATATAGGATAACACACAGATCTTTTTAAAAAACAACGTTCACACAGAACTATAGATTAACACCAAGTTAATCAACAACTGGCCAATACATATGCAACAAATACATAAATGATCCATAAAAATATCTGACCACACTTATCCTATCACATTCTGTGTTGCTCACACCTTGAGAACACATATCTCCTCTCGTTCCCGACCATGTTCACTAAATTGATCACTCAACTTATGTTTAACTGGTAAACCACAATAGATTCTAAGTCCATGGAATACTCTTCTATCACCACATCACTTCTCCCAACCTGCATGGATAATAGGTTTCCACCTAATAGAAGTGATGAAAGTGCATCTCTCACACTCCACTTAATCATGATCTCTTCACAGATAAATGATTCTAGACATTTAATCACCTCTCCAATCGTGATCCAAATGTCACACTCCACATTTCCAATACAAATCACTATGTATCTCTAGACATTAATACTCTACCTCACCAATAGACACACAACTTACTACCAATGTATCTCAACCCAATATGCATGCAAACAGTAATACAAAGTAATAAGATCACTCTAATTCATGTCAATGCGCATATCAAACACATTGAAATGCAACATATAATCATGCAACAGAATTAAGCAATCTCACACATGCAAAAAGTATTACATACAAATATACATGCAGTAACTAGGTTTACTCTCAATAAACCTCGCTAGGGTCTTCAATCGACTCTATAGTCAAATTCGCCTCACCTCTAATCTCTTCAATTGACCCTATAGTCAAATTCACCTCACCTCTAGTCTTACCCTTATGCTTATCCTTCTTCTTGATACAGACCCTAATAAAGTGTCCAAACTTATCACAGCTGTAACATCTTTTACCACTAGACTTATCCCGTCCCTTGCCTCTTCTTCTTATCCTCAGCACTCGACTCACTACTTGAGTTACTACTATCTTGAGCTATACCCAAATTCATTTGCTTAAACTTCATTCTACTCCTCATCATATGTAACTCACCACTCATCTTATCTTCTTTTTTTAGTCTTAATTTTTATCTCCTTACTCTTAAGAGAGTGATGCGAACCCGATTAGCATGGTCGCTATCAAATCATAGGGTATTGACACCGGATCCCAAGAACACCAAGAATCGAGGTTTTGGACTCAACCCACAATATTGAAACCAAGCAACCGATAATATATTAAATTATTGACCTCTTGATTACGCAAGATTAATGAATTTTACCCGAAATTTTGAATTTGACCTAATAATTACGAACCAAACAACCAACACAGTTACATGGACATGCCGACCATTTGGTTACAAATAATTATAAAATCATAATCCGACTTATTGAACACCACAAGATGGTTAATCTTGATAAGTTTGATTTCTGCCCATGGAAGAACAAAGTTTTTAAGCAAAAGCTTCGAGAGAGAAAATTCTCAATTTAATTCATCAAAGTCTTCATCAAAATACAATGAAAGAGATAACCTATTTATACTAAAAACCTAAAATATAAAATATGAAAAAATATAATTAAGTCTCCCAAAAATATAAAGTTATCAAAAAACTATGAATTCTAATGGAAATAAAATTTCTCGTAAAAGGAAAGATTTTCTTCCAAATTTATTTCTATAGGGCCCACTTCGGATTATATCAAACCCTCTCTCTTCGAAAGGATTCGTCCTCAAATCCTGATCCAAATTGTAACCCTTGTCTCCAATCAATGCAAGAACATGAAATAGTTCATCTCCTCTCGGATGTAGTTTGGACCTCTTTTGATATTGAACCCGTTGCCTTCGATTGTAAATCCAATCACCTTCACCTGGATCAAAGTGTGCTCTCCTTGACCACTTGATTTTCCAAGTTGAAATTACTCCAATAACAACTCAATTTGATAAATAACCATGCATCTTCCTTGCTTTACTTGGCCCAAACACTTGAAAAAGTGTTATTTTCAATGTACCAATATTGTCCTTCAGTTCATCTTACTCAATAAACTCTCTACGTTTGTAGTTCATCCAGTGCCTTTGAAATTCTGTCATCTCCTTGGGAATTACAAAGTCAATTTTCGAAAGATAAGGGAAATCCAACCGATGTAGTACCAACTGATGTTCAATTTCTGGGACGGGTGGTGTTCCAATGTGATCATTTTCTGAGATTGAATCTCCGGTAACTTGCAAAATAGAATCAGCAAAGTTGGGGAGGAAAATGTTAGTTTTCTCCAATGCCCTCTCAACTTCACGCTCCTCTTCATTTAAACTCACTTCCAACTTCCCCTTCTCCGAAGACTCCTTTTCATTTTCATTCTATAGCTCCACTTCCCCTTTTGGAATTTCACCTTCAACTACCTTTTCACTCTCTTGTGGCTTTTCTTATTTTTTCTCACAACTAACCACATCACAATTTTTCTTCTTGCCCTTTCGTTCCTTCCCATGATCAATGTAAGAATTAATCAAGTCGCAAATTTTTAAGAATTCACTCTTATAATCCAATGTACCCCTAGCATGCTTCCCAATTGATGTTCTACCCTCCGATGGACATCGCCTTTCAAGCCTATCTATTCTATTTTCCATATCCTCTATCTTCACCAACATCCTCTCAAACCGTCGAATCATCCCTTCAGACATATTGTTTGGTTGATGTATGGGAATTGTGACTCAAAGACTCAAAAGGATTGAACAGGAAGATTTTGGATGGAATTTTTATAGATTCAAGAAAGTGATTCTTGAATTGAAATTTGACCCGATAGAAAAGAATTTTTGATTCAAAGAATTTATCGGTAAATTTTGGGAATTTTTTTTTTGGGACCTGTACGGATGAACAATAAAAAAGAAAAATTGACCTTTTTTTTTTTTTTTT